TTGTGCACAGGAATAAAATGTTAAAAACTTAATTTTTATATTAGCAGATTCTTACACAAAACGTGATTGTGATGGCGAAGCTAACAAATTGAAATTAATCACATTGAGCATTGCTAACATTGTCCATTAAATTGTTGGTTTATTTCAACCAAGGCAAAAAATAAAACATTATTTTCTTATAACGCTAATTATTTTGATCATGAAAAAATGTAAATAAGCACAAATAGACTATCAATAAATTAGAATCTACACTATAGTAGACGAAAGAAGATTAGTCCTCTAGGAATTTTGTTCGTTTGGGATAATAATATCATTTCTGTCAATCGTTTCCAAAGCGTTCCGCAATAGATTAAGGGTAGCATTTGGGTATTTCCTTCTGTACCACTGATTAAGCGATTGGATGGCACTGTTATAGGTATGACCACGATGTTTTGCTTCGATAACCTCAGTATCAATCGTTGGATCTAGTACTATAGCTAATTTTATCCAGTCTACACCAACACAACTAGCGATGGAGTGAAAATAGTTTCTAGGATCTATAAGGCACGAATGAACATATTACCACATACGTCATCTTAAAATTACAAATTGAAATTATCTTATCATGGACTAGCCGAACCCGCATACCCAGCTGTGTGCTATCAATATGACTCAATAATTTAAATGTGGATACATTTGTTTTAATTTAACCTAATTCATTTTACTTATTGTTGGATACTCGCAAGTAAAGTAGTGGAGTAGTAGTTTATATGTTCTAATTATAATCTGAAATATTCGCTGGCATTCTAATTAGCTAACAGAACTTTGTGCGATAATATCATACATAATAATCACTTCTGGTCACTATTATGATTAAATGGGCAAATTAATTACTATATCTATGAATAAAAACGTAAAAAAAAGCTTAAAAGTAGCTTACTAGTAGCTAAATATTCTAATGAAAATCTTAAAAATTCGTTGGTGATATCATCATGTAGCAAAACTGTATGCGATCATATCATCAGTGGCAAACGTAGCTGAAAGTATTACATCAATTAACGAGGTAAGATATTCCTATGTTAGAATTTATACGGAGTAATTGCTCTTAATCATATTTAAATCGATATTATATCGTATAAATGTTGTAATTATCATGGTAAATATCTTATCGAAGATGATCAAGTTCAACACAGGGGTTGGATATCAAATCAATTTCATTTATAGTTTGCGTATAGCTAGCTAGATAGGCTTTCCACCAAATCATAAGCAGTCTCGTTATCCAGACCCTATTGATAGGGTGATTGTATATCTTGAGGTATCATAGAATGATCGCATTGATCAGCTGTTATGTTTTGCTAACAGTAATAACAACGAATGGATGGAAAGGATATACAGGTTTGATAGTCTATAGCATCAACGCCAAGTCAGTCATTAATATCAAGGAAAACTATTGGAAAGAAAAAGTTAAAAATAATGATTTTATTCCTACTAGAAGATCGATTACTTACAATTATAGGCTAGTCGCTGTTCTGTTAGTGGAGTAAATTATACCAACTCAATATTACTAATAAATTTGCTGTATTTGTAGAATAGTAATCACTAAGTTATCAAGATTTCTCATCAACTAGATCCTTTAAATATAGACTACATCATTTGTTATATTTGCTGGTAATAATAATATGATAAAATGAGTAAGACTACAGTCAACTTGATGGATTGAATTTTTTGTTAACTTTATTTATCATCGATTCCTAATTTTGTTCAAGCTGTATTACACATTCTAATGTCTGCAACTGTATGCTGCAATGCCCATCTTTGCTATCCAAATTACCTTGATTTTGAAAAGCATGGTTGATGCTCTCCTTGATACGATACATTCTGTATCCTACAAAGGCATCATTTTTTTGTTTTGCTACTATGATCCACATAGACCTTTATTCAGTTATGACTTGTAAATTGATGGTGACGACCATGGACGTCAAAACAAGTCCTTGCATTTGCATTGTAAGATTAAAGAGAACATAGCAGCTAAAATGGTATTGCAAAAGTTAGCAAAAATATCTCATTCATGGTATTAGGTTATAAGAGCATTTCCACACAAAATGGTTACAGTCAATGAAGCGAAATTCCTTGAAATAAGGAAGCAGAAATAGAAGCAAACACTATCACCTTTTAAGTAGTAATCAATAAAGACATTGGAAATCAGGCGTAACTTATATCTAAAACATTTCTACAATATCGTAGAGTGAACCGAGAAATAATGCACCTTCAATATTTTTAATTTAAGTGGGGCACTAAACGGCTACTTTCTGTCGTTCACTTTTACGAGTCTGGTGCAGAATACTTTTTTTGATTTTAATATGCTGCAATATGTTAACGCTAACCATAACAAAATTGTGCCAGATAAAGGAGGGTCGTCATACAAGATGCACTATCCGCTAGCAGTCGAATACTGACAATTCAGCAAAGTGTAAATATGTCAAAATTGTCCAGGCTATATCTCAGTCTTCATCATAATCACGCAGTCACTTATGGAATCAGATGTTGTAGACTATCAACTTCGTTAAAAAATTACGGCAATGGTTAACACGTTGTCCGCAATCATAGTTAAGTGTAAATTAAATAAAGTATAAACCAAACGCATGTGAGGCGCGACTTTACTTTATTGTGAATTGTTGCGAGACTAGGGATCTCAACATGCCCTACTAGTAAAAAGTCTTGATTTTTATTATTTAATTAGCTCATACTGCTGAACTCACACGCTAGCTACTGCCACAATTGGTTATCATAACTTATACATTAGTTCCATGGCTTCAACTCTTAATCAAGACTATTTAATTAATCTTTGCTAACTTTAGTCTTTAGGAAATGGCGTGAAGCCAGTATAGTAAATTCAAAATCAGATGGTAAGGTCAACTAGTATTAATGGATGTGAAAATCGTGCCTTGCTAACTACCTCTAACATACAGTATAAGTTTGATATCTTGTTAATATTAGTAGTTCCGTGGATTCAATTTCTGATCAAAACTGCTAGCTAATCTTGGCTAACATAGTTGTCAGGAAAATTTAGTGAAGTCGGTATACCAAGTTAGAAGGAAGATGGAAAGATTAACTAGTTTGAATGGATATGAAAATCCTGCCTTGAATGCGATCTTTAACTTACGGCATTGCCTTAGCGATATTGTAAGAGTATTGATCTACATTGTTTTCTTTTGACAACAATTATCCCTGCACAAAGAGTAAATCTTTAAAAAGAAATAATCACTCTAATAGCACATTTATTCTTAGCCTTTGAATGACTTTTATATACCCTTTGAAACTTTTAATTTGAATTATTTTTTCTTATAACTAATCAGTACTTCCACTGAAGATTAATTTCAAAGTATGGCGTAGTTTTAGTTTACTTGCCAATCGGATAGAAAAGGTTATTTTTATCATTTTACACCATCCAGTACTTATATTTTCTAGCTTGACTACTCGAGCATTTGATAAAGGGTTTACTACATTTTTAACCTCAATAGAGTACAATAATGAGTTATAAGAGCTCAATTGAGCAATTATAGGCTCAGAAATTAAGTCTCTTGATTTACGATAATTGCTTATAATTTTATTTTTATTTAAGTAATTTTATTATGTTGCTTTTGATGATAATATGACAGAATACGAGAAGTACTTTTTTCGATAATAAAAGTTAGTCACAGATATTGCAACCAAACTTAGCTAACTAATGCTATTGGTAATAAACAATGAAATCTTTATATTGCTTTTATCAAAGTTAGGAACGGCAGTAACATAATTAATACCGGTGCTACAATTCAGAATAGTAATATCACTAGAAGTAAAATAGAGTAGATAAGATTTTTTAAATTTACGGTACGTTTATACTTCAAAATAAGCGATCTTGTATGCATAACTTAACGCTATCAATAATAACATAATTATCTTCCAACTACCGCAAGCGCGTTTGTCTAATGGCTTAAAACTGAATTTAAAGCCGAAATGATTCTCTTAATCTATTCGCATGCATTATAAATTACGGGTATACTGTAATATCGTCCTAATGTACAATGGCAACTATCGATTTTAAGCCACCGAAATTTCCATATTAAAAATTAGTTAGTGCTATCTATATATGCGCTTATGGTGATTTCAGTAAGCTACAGTAGTAGCAAGTTGACTGAGTCATTGCGATAGCTTCTGCCTCATATGGTTATTGACAGGTATCCTTGGTTAGGTTGTTTGTGATAATTTATTAAAAAATTTACCTTAGCAATGGATCAACTCTATTAACAGCTATGATTTTGCTATAGCTACAACTAATTTCTGTTTATCTGCATATTGAATAATGATTTAATCTTTCCTTTATTAAAATTATAAATGGCTACACTACTGCGTAGTTATAGAAAATCATAATTCTTAGTTTTTTGTTTTAAGTTTAATCCTTTACTCAATTTTTTGGCAATTAACGTTACATTATTGGCAGCTATAGAGAGCAAATAATAAATTGTTGCTGTTCATTATATTTATTAGTGTATAATAATTGATCCACTATAGAGCCTTTTACAACGTTAAATTACACAACAGAGGACTTCAGATGCAACAGTAAAAACTACTTGAGCCAGCAGTAAAAGCTAGAGGGATAATCATTCACAATGAAACGAAAGTACCTACGGCAATAAACTACTGCAAAACTAGATTACGGTAAAGCGTTTCTAAGTAAAAAATATAAACATAAATATTACTAGATTTTGAATATCTTGATAAAAGTTTATTTACTACTGTCACGACCGAGGTTATGAAGCTTAGAGATGATATAAAATTGGAATACTGTACGTTCGTTGATCCAGTATAACTACCGTACCTCATAAATTAACATTGACTAGAATTGCTCTTGAAATATTAGTCTCTGTGCTGATATATATCTTAAGAATTACGATTTGTCTAGTTCAAATACTATGGAAGAAATTTATAAAATTAACCATAACATGACCATTAGCAGATATGATATTTATCTCTAGTATTCATTCGGTCATTTTTTTTTCGACTTCGTCAGCTAAAGCATTTATTTCCATCTTACGTAAAGCTTCAACCACTGCAGAGATTTTAGCATTCATCCCAGCTTTATCTTTCCACGATTTTAAAACATTGTGCACTTTATCGTAACGTCCTTCATCCTGACTTGATTTAATTTCATTAATCTTTGTGTCCGTTAACTTTAATAACACTCCAAAACGAACTATATGGGTTCCATTTAGTTTTGCTGCTATTAAATCGAAGCATGCTCTCTCTATTTTCATGTAAAAGCAAAGGAAAAATTCATGAAAAAAAATTGGCAATATTAGCATCGTTTCAAGTCTTCAGCAATGTATCTAATCTAGAACGCAGGCCTAAGAATGATATTCAGCAATTTTCCTTCACAATAACTGTAAATTTATTCTCATGATTGTAATATGCAATCTAATGTTAATATTAAATGCTATTATTGATTCTCAGTCACCATATTTTGCTGATTCAATTTCATAATAGTTATGAATACTTATTAAAGCTTGCCGGACGAGCTCTTTTAAAATTAAATTAAATCGAATAGTAATTTATCAATGACTGTTTACTATATTGAGTGATTTTGGTAGTTAATATACCATATTGTAATTACAATCTTAAAATGTTCATTTTGCAATATCATAAGCTAGCAAAATTTTATGCGATCACATAATCAGCGACAAAATCGACAAAAATATTATATCCATTTAAAGCAGGATCTGTTGTAATATTTGCTCTCATTCGTACTTATATCAGTCTATAAATTAATTGCATTATGCATTTTTGAAATGACTGCTAGATATCAATTCAGTGGAGGCTCACCCTTATCTTCCGCATATATCTTTTTCTCTAAAGAAATGAGGTGAAAATAGGAATAATCAATTAGTAGCTCTATCATAATATTTTAAAACAGATGATAGAGTCGTAGGCATGCAAGTGAAATGTATGACATGTTTCTCTAAAGAATTTACGATGATAGTTTCCTCCCTTTATCATTTTAGGTGCTTTTACAAGCAGGGAATGCTATCTATGTTAATTTCTATACGCTGCATAAAACGATGAAACTAATTGGCTATTAAACAGTTCAATATTGATGACTTATCATGCACTAACGTTAAAAAACAAAATACTATAGGGAAGAGCGATAAATAAAATCCAGCCGTTTCTATTTACTCCACAAATGAAATGCAGTAGATGAAGTACTCATTTGAAATATTACAATCCATAATACATTTTCAGTAATAAGAAATATATTAAAATCAGAAAATATTATTGCAATTAAATAGTAAAATAGCTATGATAGAGTACATTTATATCTCTCGTTGCTTGCTCTATGCGTATGACTTTCGTTTATTATATCATAAAAAGTGATAATATAAGAATGAAGCTGCTGTTTATTCTCACATGCTTACCTATCCAGAATTTTTCATTATAAATCACCCAATCGTTTAAAGATTGACTGGCAAATTCCATCTTACAATGCTTACATCGAATCCAATTTTGATCTCCTTCCTTGTATTCTTCAGTTATACTTGTTTGTGTATTACATTCACTACATTTGACGAAATATCGACAATCAGCCCCTTTAAACTTAACCATCCTATCATTGACAGTGGAGATGAGTTTATTCTTGACAATTTCGTGTGGCCGTTTGACAAATATAGAATTTTTAACTTTATCGATAATCGATTGACTCCTCTTGAGCTCATTTATTTCCTGATAGCAATATTGTAAACCGATGTGAGATTCCTCTTTCCTGACTACAAGATAGTGATTGTCATTTGCTAAATAATATTTGGCACATTGATAGTATAATTCTACGTCCGTATTATTCCATTCCTTTAAACATGAAGATAACAAGCAATAATAAATTCCATCTGGAAGATATGGAATATCTGTATGCTCGTATCCGATGTAGAGCCAATCTGATTGATGATATTTTGATAAATCGAATGGCTTAACATCATATCGTAACAAATATGGAACAAAGTATTGACATTCTTCGCCGTTGTCGTTCTTCTCATTTGTAATTGAACATAGAATATCATAAGCATGCATGAGTGCCAATATAGTTTGCTTACTATTGTCATCTAAATTAAATTTATAAATAGCATGATCAATGTATGATCTTGATAATTTTCCTGTTTGGCTGGCTATATCATAGTCACGTTTTATCTGTGCACTTCCTTGTACAAAATCTTGTAATTGAATAATAGAACGAAATATACTTAATAACCAATCGACATTAGTTATAATAATTCCGTCGTCGCCTACTTTATCACAGTAGATGACTTCTCCTAAATCGTGTAGATACATTAGCATAGCGATTAATTCATCATGGTTTTCATATAATCCGTATTGTTGAGACAAGGTTACTACTTGTTGCATTGTCATAATATTATGCACTTGAGAATGTCTAATTTGATTCATAATAGAAGATGCGGGTTGATTGTTAGTAGGGAGCGATTTATTTAATATTGTAGCCATGATATACCATCGAATAGGTATAGGATTCGTAATAAATGGCAGTGATTGTACAAATGCCTTAATGATACCATGTAAACGAAGACAACATTGTTGACGCAGCTTCTGTGTCGACGGAGTACTATCAAGAGGATTTGCAATCAAAAA